GCTGGAGGACTGAAAGTCCGCAAGCTCCGCCTCCAGTTGTTCATACTGAGCTTTGTAATGAGCCAGTTCATCTCTGTAAGAACTGCTCGTATGCTTCCGTTCGGAAGATGGCTCATCGACGGCCGGCATCTTCTTGCGTTGGGCAGAGGACCGGTCGCAAAGAAGACGTCTGGACGACGAGTGTCGTCCAAAATTGGCGAAAGTCAGTACAGACTGTACACCAGGCTGTCTTGCCCTGCAGATCGTTCCAGCCCCTCTCAAAGACTCATAGGTTGTGTGGTGGCCCGATGTCAACAACCGTGCGTTTTGATAAGAGCCCCTCGCCGAGGCGGTGACGCAAGGGATTGATTGCGGTACCTAGTAGTTTGTCCCTCTATAGAGGGAGGAAGAGAAGATCGAAGGATGTGGCGAACTAAGATGTGCAAAGCTGGGTTACCTTCGACCCGCCTCGTGTCGAAAAGCGGGTTCGATTAGATCGGGCTGGGAGAAACCGATGTTGTTGTTGCGGTCGTCAGGGGCCGGTAGATGCGCTAGTCCTCATGTAGCAGATCTGGGCTCAGCCACCCACCGCTCTTTTGGTACGTCAAGGCAGAAACATATTGCCTCAGGCATTTAAGGCACTAACACGAAGCTAAGCCTCATTGGAGCTGAAAGTGATCCTGATCGACCTCAGCCCCGTGATCTGGACTCAGCAGTCGCCAGTCCCCAGTCTTTAGGTCTCTAGGGCAATCAAGTCGGAGAGGTAAGTAGCTTTGTCTATCTTTCAATATTTGCACTAGAACTCTCTGTGGCCCTTCAAGCTCCAAGCACAAGTGTTTATTGCCTCCAGACACTACCCTGGATGTTATGCCCACGCACGCTGTTCTTAAGATCGCTGATCATCCTGTTTGCTTCCACGCACTTGTTTACCCCCGATTATTCGCAAGCTCCATCTATCTATCCCAGTGTTGAGGCGCATCGGCTAAACGTGGGATGATGGTATGACATCTGAACTTACAGTTTCCGCCCCTTAAGTAGATCCCGCTCAGTGAGGCTAAGGTCCAGCTCGATCTATCACCATGGCAGACTCAACCGATCTCAACCTTGACGATGCGCCCAGCGACCTTCAAGACATCCCCGAACTAGCAATGCAATTAGTTCCGCCTCCAGAGGGGACATACCCTGACAAGTAAGATCTCATCCCGTCGCTCCTTGCCTAGTGGGACCAATATCAACACTTTATGTCTACAGGGCCTCTCTTCTCGCCGCAGTTCAGGACCATGGCAAGGAACATGGCTACAATGTGGTTGTCAAGTCTTCAAGCACGCCCACGGAGAAGAAACCTGGCCGCACCGCTAAGGTGTGGCTGCGTTGTGATCGTGGCGGCCACTATCGGCCACGGAACGGTCTGACTGAGGAAACGCGCAAGCGCCGCAGAACCTCGCGGTTGATGGATTGTCCTTTCATGCTAGTCGCAGCCGGTTCTCCCGGTATCTGGACCCTGACAGTGCTAAATGCGACGCACAATCATGGTCCTATTATCGAGAAGCCGCGGCAGGTGCCTCATCACAAGGTCCGCAAGGGCCAGCTACCAGCCACTCCATATGATTGGCCCCATGATGCTTCATTCACCCCATACACCACTGCGCTTGTGATAATTGACATGCAAAAGGACTGTGAGTATTTCGGACTATTACCACTATCAGTGAACCAACTGGCTGATTTTGTCCTAGTCTGTTTGCCCGAAGGATACATGGGATATCAGGGTTATGATATTTCTAGCGCACAGGCTTTGATCCCTCCCTTGCAAAGATTGCTTCATGCTTTCCGCTCTGGGGGTTTCCCAGTCTACCATACTCGCGAGGGTACCTAGTGTCTCGTGCTTGGCTCTTAGTATGCTTTTACTAATTCATATCAGGACACCGACCCGATCTATCTACTCTCTCAAGTCGTGAGGCATATCGATCCCGTAACAATGCATCCGGCTTGGGTATCGGTTCCCCTGGTCCCATGGGCCGCCTACTTATCCGTGGCGAACTGGGCCACGACACTGTTGACGAATTGTATCCTCTACCCGGTGAGCCGGTCATCGACAAGCCCGGCCGAGGTGCCTTTGCACACACCGATTTTGAGCTCCTCCTTCGCAACAAAGGAGTGAAAAACCTCGTCATTGCGGGTGTGACCACTGATGTCTGCGTCTCGACGACCATGCGCGAAGCTAACGACCGTGGCTTTGATTGTGTCGTCTTAGATGATGGCACTGCAGCCGCCGAACCATCGCTACATTTGAGCACTATACAATCGATCAAGATGGAAGGCGGAATCTTTGGAACTGTTGCCAAGTTGGAAGACGTCATTCACGCTGTTGATAATTTCAAAACCGTCACCATGAAGAAGCTGGCTCCTCAGATGACCGTCTAAGTATGTACTATTTCTTTTAGCCGGTTGGCTATGGACGCTAGGATTGGAAGGGATTTCTCGGGCGTTTGGGACTGGAGTTATCTCTTTTCTGCTGAGATACTGCAGTGCGCATACTCGTTGCTTTTCTTTTTCGAATCTCTTCTTTTGTTGAATTTTAGCGGGCCAGGGACTTCATTGATCCCAGATAGCGTCATTTTCTGCCAGCAACTTTAGGTGCAGGACAATAGCCATTGCACTTCTAGTTCAGTTTGTCGTGTTAAATCTGAAATAACAAGCACACTTGTGTTTGTATTACACTACACGCTAGATTATTGACCTTCTCCTTGACTGTAGACTTATTTCTCTGTTATGCAGAGCAAGTCAAAATAATACAATAGACACAGAGAAAGAGCCAACTCCCAAGAGAATACATGCCCTAAAAACGCCACGCTCATGAACCTAGAACTCCCAAGAAACAGCCAGGCTACAGCCATTTTTTCCCTGCAGCAGTAATCCGCGATCTGAAAACAGGACTCTTGATCTCCATTCCCTGCTTATAGAATGGGCTCATCGCCGTCTTGACATAGCTCTCGTATACCTCGTTCATGAACTGGCGCACAGCCTCTTCGGTCTGCGGGGAGGTCGGGTTTGCGGCGATAGAGCTGGAGGAGGCGCGTGTGGTCGATCCAGCTGTGCCTAGCAGTGAGGAGGAGCCAATGCTGCCGCTTGTGCTGGTTGAAGAGGGGAGATGCGGGGGTTGGTGGAGGAGGAGGAAGCGCGCGCCACTTGGAGTGAGGAAAGCCGTGATGTAGGCTGCTGCCGGCGGGTAGGTGTCGATATGCTTCAGGTACCTTTTGTGATAATGTCAGGTTTGGAGGTTTGATGTGGGATGGAGCGCGGGCTGAGGGTGGTTTCCTCTGTGTTTACATGCCCCTCGTGGATTCGAACCAGTTCCCAGTAGCCATTTGACATATGGGATAGCTTGTTAGACTTACATTCCACCATTGGTCCATTGCGCTTCTTCCAATATGTCCAGACTTGAGTGGATGATGAACTGGTTCATGTACTGCGCTGTCTCCGGAAAGCGGAAGCGAGCAATGCCATCACCACCCCCCTTCGATGTGCCAAAGGCGATGTTGAACAAAGGTGTGTCAGTGGGTGATAGAATGGTGAAGTAGTAGGACATTTTGAGCAGATTGGGATTATTCAGGGTTGACATCGACCCAAACATGGCCGAGGAGCTGAGGATTGCGGGTTTACTAGTGGCCCCCATCACGTGGTCGATAAGAAATGAGCTCGTCCGGGTGAAGGATGTATACACTTTTGATGAAAGTTGAAAGTTGAAGAATATTGTAATAAGTTGAGTTCTGTTCAACTACATATGCAGTTCAAATTCATTCGCACGGTCTTTAAAGGATCTTTGGGTGTGATCTTGTCTAACCAGGATTCTCGTTCATTATATATCTTTGATCGTTACCTATAAGTGAATTTGATACGCGATTTGTCGGGCCCATTCCAGTCCAATTAAGCACCGGGCGTGGCTTGGGACTTAATATACAACTTTACCTAGGAGATAGTCAAAGGAATAAATCGAAGTGGCCTTTTCCGCTTGACAGATATTAGCATAAAATATCTATATCTTCCTGTCTTTGGGGCGAAAGATTTAGCCGCAAACCGTAGAATACCCGAGGAACGGGGTAAAGTCGATGAAATATCCGCGATCTGTGCTTCACCAGTGACTATATATGATTATCACCACATGTACTTGCCCCTGAGAGCTAGCCAGCCACCAGGCAGCATCCGCTCGTAGCTTCTTTTTGGACTCAGATACTCCGACCTCCAGAACAATCGTGGGCCACCTGTCATTTCGACCTGGAGGAAGTTGTTCGGGGATCCATGAACCATCCGGTTCTTTGGAGCAAATGTTTCCTTCTACCCTTGCGGTTGTAAGGGAACATAGCGTTCTTCCCAAATTCGCAAATAATATAGCCCTATTGAATTCTGACTGGAGCTCACCCACGATGGCATCATGCGGTCTGCCTGGTATGGTAACGATCATGGCCCGGGTGTCGGGGTTGTAGAGCTGGCGGCATCCCTTGGAGAGTTTTAGATTTGCTACATCTGGTGGTACATTCGTGAACTTGGCGTATGCTGTCACCAGATTCGGGGTACTTCGCAGACGAGACAGAATAGACCGAATGCTCCGGGCTGATGATCCGATCGCTTCCACCGCACATTCCACATCGAAACAGTCAAAGATCAGTTGTGTCCATGATCTTTCCGATAAGAGGTGAAGAAAAAATGATCCATTTCGGTACGATTCAAATCACACTAGCCCTGGTAGGTCTCATGGAAGCTTCTGGTAATCAGTCATCAAGTCCTGCGTGAGAAATAACCAGTTAGTCCTATGAGATGGTTATTATGACATGCAGTTCTCCCCGCAAAAGCCACCAGCACGTGATAAACTGATAACTAGCCACGGCTTTATCGCGGCCGATCACGGTCGATCGCGGTCGCAACCTTTGACCTTGGCAAGCACTTCCTGCCAAACATACCAGTTTCGTTGCTATCACCCCGGGTACACAAAGCCCTAAATCTGCTTGCAAAACTTAAGTTCCGATATGCCCACAAATCTCCCCTACGGATTGAACCTTCCGAACAAAAGTCTCGCGGCGATGAAACCGGGGAATGCTCTCGCGCAGAAAAGAAAGAACATTTTTGATGACGACTCTGAAGATGAAGACCAGCAAACTGGCGATGGTGCAGTTGAAATCTCAACAATTGGAGGACTAGAAGAGCCAGCTACGAAAAAGAAACCTCTGCCAAGCGCAGGGCCTCCGCCGAAACGCAAAATTCAATTCGGTAGCGGTCCCAAACCAACAGCAAAACCGCTCAGCAAGAACTCGCTATTTGCAGACGATGAGGATGAGGACGAGGAAAAAAAAAGAGAGCAACAAGGCGCAATGAATCTTGGATTGAACCAGGCGAAGTCGAACAAGCCAACCGCTCCTGTCCAGAAATACACCAATCTCGCGTCCATGCACAGTAGCAACATGCAGGCAAAAGCGGCAGAAGAAATCGACCCACTGATCTACTCATACGATGAAGTATACGACAGTTTGCACGCCAAACCCGCCAAGGCCTCAGTGGAAACAAAGAGCGAAACACCCAAGTACATGCAGAACTTGCTACAGAGTGCAGAGATCCGGAAACGAGATCAACTGCGGGCTAAGGATCGCCAGCTAGCCAGGGAGCGTGAAGCTGAAGGTGATGAGTTCGAGGACAAGGAGAAATTTGTCACCTCTGCCTACAAGGCGCAGCAAGTGGAACTGCGGAAGGCAGAGGAAGAGGAAGCACGCCGTGAAAAGGAAGAGGAAGAACAACGCAAAAAAAGTGGCGGCTCTGGTATGATAGGATTCTACCGGGACGTTCTGTCGCGAGGAGAAGCACGGCACGAGGAGCTCATCAAGGCTGCGGAAGAAACTGCTCGCCGCGTCAAAGCAGGCGAGATCATCGGGGAGACAGAGGATCAAGAGGTCAAGACGGATGCCCAGAAAGCGCAGGATCTCAATTCTCATGGAACTCGAGTTGTTCTGAATGATGAGGGCCAAGTTGTCGACAAGCGTCAGCTGTTGTCTGCAGGACTCAACGTGGCACCGAAACCGAAATCTCAAGCACCTGCCGCCAAATCAGGAGCTTCAAGACCTACCGCTGGACGACCAAGTGCCGGTGCTGGTTACCAGGGTGGCCGTGGTGCCCAGCGGGCTCGACAGACCGACATGGTCGCAACCCAGTACGAGGAGCGTGCGCGACAAGAAGAAGAGGCCGAGGCTGCAAAGCAAAAGGAGATCGCCGAAAAGAGTCGCAGTCGCAAGACCGAGAAAGATGTGTCCAGCGCTAAAGAGCGGTATCTGGCAAGAAAGAGAGAACGAGAAGAGGCTGCTGCCAAGGAAAAATCCAAGGGGGCTTAAGTGTATGCAAAAGGCGGGCTGGATGTGTTCCATCCATGGAATTTTGGAATATTTAATATTGCATAGCGCTGGGGGAGAAACTTGTACATTACTCTCGTGATACCAAAAGAGACCCGACTTTGAGCCATAGGGCTGTTTGCTATGGACGAACCTTGCCGTAGAATCTAGCTTGGGACTATAAATATGCTTGCCCCTTTCCGGACAAAATTTTTTTTTTTCATTCGCCTCTTGATTTTCATTGCTAACACTTGGTAAGTTCTATCGCCATAACTACTCTACACTCTCGGAGGAACCATTGCCAAGACCTCTTAACCCCGGCTTACATTACCAGCTTACCTCATAATTATCACATGACCCCACACGGGCTGAGTTAATCCGGACCGAAAGCACTCGCTAAGCCGCCCCACACAGGTCGCACTCCCAATTTTGCACTCCCAAATCGAGATTCAAGAATCGCTTCATCACCAAACCACTTCCATCTCCCGTTTATCAACGTCAATCATCCAACATGGGTAAGGTTCACGGCTCTCTCGCCCGTGCCGGTAAGGTCAAGGCTGCCACTCCTAAGGTGAGTTCTCTTCGATTTCCAGCCAACGACACTCGATACACGATCGCAGTGGCCATCCATCCCACCAGCCTTTTTAACGACGATTTTGCATCCAGGTCGAGCCCCAGGAGAAGAAGAAGAACCCTAAGGGTCGCGCCTACAAGCGTATTCTTTACACCCGCCGTTTCGTCAACGTTACCATGACCGGTGGCAAGCGCAAGGTACATATCGAATGACTCAACCCACACAACCAAGCACAAGACATTCTGCAAATATCCACGACCACACAATACGAATACCGTGAATGGAGGACAGAAAGGCTGACCAGGCGCAAAATGCAGATGAACCCCAACCCCGGCCAATAGATTATTCAAGTCGTTAAAACAATCACCTGAGCCGCGATCGGCTAGCCGAGTTCTACGATGAAAACCTTCGCATGACCACGGCACGACCACGGCCCAAACGAACGAAAGCATACCAGATATGGCTGGTACTTGTACGGATGATATCACGCTTCTTCGTCTTCACTTGAATTTTTTTTTTGCTGGCAACGGATGGGTTTTTTTGGAGGCTGACTCGCGGAAATGGATGAACACACATGGTGGTCTGAGGATGGAAAGCTGTGGCTGGATGTGAGCTGTCTACGGGCAATCCTCGCAGGCTGGACTTCAGAGTCACTTTTCGACTCATTTCATAGGCTGTCATGAATTGCATTTCCGATCCAGAAATGGACTCTACCTCTTTTTCCATGCTTTTCGGGTTATCTTTACTTGAGACAGTGTCTAGGGGTATACTGAGAGCTTGCTTTTAATCAGATGCCTGCCTCTCCAGGGCCGATGTTGGAGGTGTAGAACAAATCAAGTGGGCCCTTCAATCGTGGAACTTGAGCCCCTATGCAGTTTGTTTCACTGTTCGTTCTGTTGGCCAACCAACGACAATATAAAGCCCACAGTGGCTGTACACCGAAGTATATATTTGCCGCAAACGTGTCAGAACTCACTAGTAGTATATAAGTCAAGTTCTCATCTTGCCTTTGCAACTTTTTGTCGCACTATGGGGTCATGAAACGTGCGCGGGCTGATAGAAATTAGTGGAGTCTTAATTTTTACTATAGAGAACGTCAAAAGGGCGGAGCACAAGGATCTAGAATTTTATACTATCTACAAGAATAGTGGGCTCATGTCTTTGACAACGTTGGATTTCGATAATTTGATTCATTTGGCCCAAGACGAAATATTAGTCCCAGGTATGAAATAACATCAATGCGAGTGTCTTATTGAATGTCTTCTTGGTGTCTTTCTCCCCTTTTAGGTTATAACTAGAAGCTAACCTACAGATCACGAAATAATTGCGGTGAAAAGCTAAATTTCTATGCATCTTGCGCATATAATATGCATTTGATATGACGAGACTGGAAGGAAATGTTGGGAAAAGAGGGAAAACAGATAAAAAAACACACTCAGAAATCAGAAAAATTCAGTTTGAGCTGTTTGGATTTCGTAGGACAGAACAAAAAGCCGTCACTGAAAACTATAGAAGGTAGTTTGTGGTATTGAGAATATAGGCTTAGGGTCTTCTGCAAGGCACGCAGGAACAATCTCAAAGGTCCGATGGTAGTACCTACTAATGATAGCGGCATCCTCATTTAGACCTGGGCTTATGCCTCGGAGCTCGATGTCATGACATAAATGGCAGGTGATCAGACAAATAGGCATGACCTCACCAAATCAATGCCGGATCATCCGGAGATGATGACTTCCCAAACATGTTTGGTCGAATGATTGAATATTCCACGGATCGAAGGACTTCTAAGGTGTATTTAAGGTTATTGGAGGTAAGATGACTAAGGTGATATTGGCCAGTCGCTGACTGCAATCCTGACCAACACATCCACTTGAGACAAATACAGGACACAAAGAGCAGATATCCAGACATGTCTAATCGTCAGACAGTGGAGAAATGAATCGCTTAAGGGCCATTGAGTTCAACTGGAGTCTCTACCCCACACAATGCCATGACATCGATTGAACTCAATTCCGAGCCCGTGGCCGATTGGGAAAGATTTTACATATTGTGATATGGCAAGGCACAAAGCGATGAACGATGTCAAGTTAGCTAACTGAGTCTACAGGTATTGAACCGGAAATTGCAAAATAATGAAGGGTTGCTGGCTATCCCCATCTTAACTGGAGAATACAAAAACATTAGATACAAAGAGTGAATATCTGCAGTGGACACCAGCTGTTGGAAGATCCACATATTCCACCTTCTTCCTTTGGTTAAGCATCATCGACTTCTGATATTATGCTGTACCAGATATCGATATCCCTATTGCTTTTTTTGGATCAAGCTGCGGGCCTTGGAATCCAAGCAAAGGCATGGGATGGCCCAGCTGAATACCGAGCAAGCTGTTCCCTCATACGCTCACTTGTGCTTGGAACCCACTGCTAGATATGAACGCCGTGTGGATATCACCAAAATAATTCCATGATGCAATGAAGAGAAGGACGGTTGCTAATATTATTTAGGTCCCCCCGGGGCCCTAGTTATAGCTCGGTCCATTGTTTTATATTCCATTTACTATTTTCGAAAGCTGAACAAACACGACTGAACGACAATATTTGACTTTTATTTTTATTTTTACTGTCTACCTATTAATAATTTATCGCACCAATTTTTGTCACTCATCAACATGTTCGCCAAGGCCAAGGGAATCCTCGATAAGAGTTCATCCATCCGTGATGAAGTTAACGAAGGCAATTACCATGCCGCCAAAGACATCGTGACCAAAGGTGAAACCACCAAAGAATCGACCAGCCAGGGAAACAAGGCCAATGAGATCGTCGATAAAAGCTCATCCGCCCGCGATGAAGTCAACCAAGGCAATTCCAATGGCGCCAAGGAAGTTCTCACCCAAGGTCAAAACAGCAAAGAATCGTCTGGACGGGGAGCTGTCGGCGGGGCATCAATCAGTGCTGCTGGAATGAACAATGAAGACCTTAACAAGGGGAATGTTCAGGAGACCGGAAAGCAAGGTAGGAAAGGACGGGTCGGCCAAGACAACACCGGTACCTCTACTGGCGAAACGAAGGTGGAGCAACGAGACATTGGCAGCGAGAAGCAAGAAGTTGGCCAGGAACAGCATGTCAGCATCATTACAAATGAAGATACTGGCTCTAAACAGCATGGTCACAGAGACAATGTGGCGGCCGGAGAGCTTGAACCCAATGACGACATCCGCAAGGGCCCAATCACGATGCCGGGAACCTTCCAAGAAAAGGACTTCCACAATGCGAACGGTAAAGAAACTATCGTTCAGAGAGGAACCACCAGCGAAGAAATACCAGACAACTTTTCTTATGATTCCGCGGGAGCAGGAAGCCAAAAAATGACTGGATTAGCCGTCGCTGGAGGTGAATCTCGCAAGGAACCTATTGACAAAGAGGTCCATGACAACGAGAACATCAGCTCGGACGTCCTCAACGATGGGACCACTAGCAAAGACCTCCCAAAGAAACTCGTCGACGAAAATGTTGGAAAATATCATATCGACAAAAAACAGCTTGACAAGCAGGGCTCTCAGCCTTCCGAGAAAGCAGGGACAAGCGAAGTTGCTGCCACCGATGCTGCCGGCGGCGGCTATGGTATGAGCAAGGGAGCCGTCAAACAGACCTATACCACCAGAAAGCAGAGCAAGGGACATTCCGGCTCTAGCACCAATGCAGCCACAGCCCAAGGTCCTATCTCCGCAAGCTCAAAGAGTAACGTTGCTTCTACCGTGGGAGAACATGGCCGTGCAAGCGGAAAAGGGGCGGCCGCCTCAAACCAGACGAACAGCGGGGGTTATACTTATGCCCGTGCGGTATCAAATCAAGGCTTAACTCCGAAAACCCCGACAAGCACAGGAAATTCCACCACCAATGAATCCAACCAAACAAGTGGTCTACGTTCTACCACCACGAGCCAAACAAATAATGCCTTCTACAATGCCGGCGCCACTGGATCGAACAAAGCAGGCATCGTCGGTGGAGGAGTTCTAGGACTTCACCAAGAAGGTAATTATGGTATATCCGGCAATGACAACAGCGGAGTCAATCAAGGAAGCATTGCTGCAGGAGGAGGGACTCGCCAGGGGGGTGTCTATAATACCTCCGGCAATGACAGTTTCAGCAATAGAGTCACCCACGCCAGCTCCGGTACCAAGAGCAGAGCCGGAAATGGGGTGTCTTCGAAGCGCATTGTTACACAGCTGAGTGGTTGTGGCTACAAACTCACTATTCTTCAAGAAAAGGTTCAGGCTGTGTCTCAGAAGTGCAAGACTCAGCTGGGCCTGTTTCCCAGTGAGATCAGCAAACGCAGCCCCAACGTAGATGCTTTCTTTGATGCCGTGGCAGCTGAACGTCTCCGATGGATGCCTCATGATGGTAGCAGACTCGACTGCAGCCTTAGATGGGCGTCTAGACTGGCGTATGCCGTCGACGCTCTTCGGGAGTCCGTCGGAGTCTTTGCGCCTGCTGCCAATGAGGCGGCAACGCTCATCTGGGGATTCTCTGTCCTCCTTTTGGAGGTTAGTCAAGTTGACCGGTGATATTTATTTTAGATATGGATGCTGACTATTGTACAGTCAGACATGGACAATACGGATGTCTTCGAGAGCGTCTTTGGCCGATATGGCCGGGTCGCCGTCGGTATATATTTGCTTTTGCAGTACGAGATTGCATACAAATCCTCGCCTGAACTTCAGCCATATGTTGCCGCGGTATTCGCAGATTTGCTTGAAATGGTCAGTAGCACGGCTATGAGCTGTGTCGAGGGATTTAAAAGCAAAGAGTCCGATCAGATTATTGGACGCAACGTTGATGCCGCCTTTTTGACCTACGCCAAGCGCTTTTCTACCCACTGGAATTGTGTTGTCGATGCCCACACTGCAAAGCTCGTGGAGGACAGTCCCTTGATTTACTCTTCGCCTGAGCTGGGTAGCTTGCGTCAATTCCTGGGAGTACAGGACCGCCCTCTTCAGTTCATCCTCGACTCTCGCGCTCACTCGCTTGCTGAGGGATCGTTTGAGTGGTTCAACAACATGCTCTACGATTTCAGTGTCGGAAGCTCACCTGTTATGCTAATTTCCGGTGGTCCTGGCTCGGGAAAGAGTGCATTAGCCCAATGGGCGGTCGAAAGACTACAGGAGTCGGGTGAACACGATAGCTGGAATGTGATCCCCTACACCATTCGTGAGTTTTACCCTTAGATTTTTGCTGATTTGCTAGCTAATCTAATATAGGTGCTGATATTCCTGTCGCTACTTTACCTCTACGCATCCTGAAGGGTGTCCTTCACCAGATGTTGGATCATTCTGTCAGTGACAAGCAGACCCAAGAGGCTATCCTGGTTGAAGTCGCAAGGGCAGCCCAAGGGGCGATCGATGGCGCTGGAGATGACGCGGTAGAAGCAAGCCTTTGGAAGGGTATTCATGCTGGTCTTGCTACAAACATCCAGTACATGTTTGTGGTTGACGGCATCGACCAGATCAGGGGTGGTCATACCAATGCCATTGCCTGTCTTGATCGCTTCTGTGAGATTCTCTCAGAACAGAATGCTGGATCTAAGATGATTGCTTTCACCCGGCCCCTGAGCTCAAAGACCGACTCCAAAGGAATTCAGCAGTTTTCCATGCAGACCTCACAGACTAAGAGCGACCTCATAGCCTATGTCGACAAGATGCTTGCATCTAGCGCCAACTTTGACACACACAAGGGCAACCAGCTTCATGCCGCTGTGTCTGCCATTGTAGCCCGCTCTCAGGGCTCTTTCAGTTGGGCTGAAATGGCGGTTGCATATGCTAAACAGCAAAAGACCTTGAGCCAGGCGGTTGCCTCCATTCAGGGCCTGCCGCAGTCGATGCCGGAGCTTATTGATTTCCACTCCAAGAGTCTTGACCTTAGCCAGCAGGGTACTATTAGTGTTGTTTCTTGGCTCGCGGCAGCTGAGAGACCCTTGCTAGTCGAGGAGATTGAGCATTTGCTGAACGTGGATCCCAAGGGCCCCAGATACTCCTCCAATCAGCCCTCTAGTAGCTATGACATCTTGAATGCTCTAAGCCCGCTGGTTATGACCCGTGATGGTGTGGTCTCTTTCTCTCACACCTGCATTCGCGATCACATCATCAATCAGGCTAAGTCGTCTGGTGGGGAGTCCCAGCTCAGCATCAAGGATGCACACTACGACTTGCTCACCAGGTGCCTTTCCTGCGTCCAGTTGAGCGTGCGTGAGGAGGTTGATATTTCCATGGATAGGCTGGGTATCGAGGAGCGCAACCATCTTTTCGACAAGTATGTCGTCTTGGAGTACACCGCACGATACTGGCTGTCACATCTTCTCTCTTCGCCAATTGTCACCGATGACGAAGAGTTCCAATTTAATTCAAGATTCAAAAAGCTCATGCCTGCCACCGTTCTGTTCGCGCGCCTCGAGCTGACTTGCCGCGAGTCCCAATTCACTCGGTCTAGCGTCGTGGAGCTGTACAGACTTGCGAGTGACATTCGACGATTGGTCCTTGGCGAGAAATCGATCGCCCTGCTACAAAGCCTGATTCTCAGCGCACGCGTGTCCAAGATGGCGCATGCCAGCCACGCCGATGAGACCTGCTACAAAGCGTGGAAGCTAAGCCAGGAGCTCCTCGGCCAGTCACACCCGATTACAATGGCATGCTCTGAGATGATGATACAGTCATTCTCCGAACAAGGCACGATTGCCTCTCAGCAGGAAGACATCCTGAAGTCCTTGATCTTGACAGATTCGGAGATCACAGGGGTTGAATTCAATCAACGCCTGAAGTACCTTGGAATGATCGTCAGCATGTACAAGACTCACGACGACAACCAATCCGCGTTGTTCATCTCAAAGCACTTCTATCAGCAAGTTCTTCAGAAGTATGGTACCAATTCGCACCAGTCATCCGAGACAGCAGATTTCTTGACCAGTCAGTTCTCGACAACTGGAAGCGACGAGGTGAGCCGTGACATTGCTAGAACCAAGTATGACAATATGGTGCGCACTATGGAGGTCACTGACGAGCGCCGAATCTCCTACACTCTTCACATGGCCAAGATGTATGAGGACCAGGGTGAATTGGCTCTTGCTCAGGCAGTTCTTTCAAGCCTGTGGGCGGGTCTCAACTCACGCGACATTGACTCGGTTGATATGATGGACAAAAAGTCTAATGTCGCCCTTGTGTACTACCAGTTCCTTCGTCGTCAAGGTCGAAGTGATGAATCTGAGGTCATAATCCGTGAATTGGTTGCAGATCTCGAGGTTACTGGTATTCACTCCGAGGAGATGATGCAGCGTGTGCACCTTCTCCGCGCTGAGACTCGGGAGATGCTTATGTACAATCTCGATCGCTCCTTGTCAATTCTTATGTGGCGCTACTACAAGGAGACCCACCAAGAGTACTCAGAGGAATCAACCGCTCTAGCGCTCTCAATTGCTCAGAGCATGGCAAATGCAGTCTCTATTGAGGATGCATCCTCTCTGTCTTCTCGGGACCGCAAGCTGCTAATTGAGCTGCTGGACGTCATCTCGGCCAGTCCCGACAATATGACTGTCACTACCTTGATCCTGTGCCACAACCTTGCCAGTATCTATGTCAGTGAGGGAGATTGGACCCAAGCTAGTGAATGCTCAATGGCGGTTCTGCGGCATATCTGGCCCACCATTGAACAGTCCAAATCTCACCAGAAGTTCTCGCCAGAGCTTGCACCCCCCGCGGCAGATTTGGCTTTGGTGTTGGCCTACTGTCACTTCCGCAGGCTACATTTAGAACATGCTGCAGTTATTTATGAGAATGCGGTCGGTTCTTTGATCTCTTCTGCCGGAGTTCCCGTGGCGTCGGTGCTAGCAGTTGCCAAGGCTGCCGTCGAGTTCCACGAAACTACCTATCAGTTCAACAAGGCGCTGAATTTGCTCCATACTATCAGCAACTACTTGGCAGCTCGTCTCGGAGAGAAGCATGAGCATACCATCAACAATATGTATCTCGAGGCTGCTTTGGCAACTCGTCTGGAGAAGAACTCCGAGGCCAAGAGCATCTACCAGCGAATCTTCAAGGCTACTTCCCATCAGGTCACGATTGTTCCCGAGGGTATCGCCGCTGCAATTGCTCTCATCAGCCTCTACGATAAAGAGATGCAGTGGGATTCTGCTTTGCATGTTTACCGAGCTCTTTGGCCGACCCTGGTTGTTGAAGACAACAAGGCAGATTCCTATGACCATGCGCTAGTGGACCGGATGTTGGAGAAGACTTATTTGGGCTATATGTCTATTTTGACCAATAAAAGCTCCAACTTCTCTGAGCGGTATCGGGTGGCCTCTGAGTATGTAATGACCTGTCGCCACTTACACGGCGCAACAAGTGAGAAGACGCTCAATGCCACTTTACTCCTTGCCGAGCTGTGTGAGTCGAGCGATGCACATGTTGATCAAGCCATTTCGCTTTACAAGTTGCCTCTGGAAACCAGCGAGTGGGTGGCTCCTTCTCAGTCGTCGAAGGGGCTAGACCAGATGACTTCGTCGCTGCCTATCACCCTCAAGCACAAGTTGGCACAGCTGTTTGTGCGCAAGCATGATTCGACTATAGAAGCCCGTTCCCTCTACACTGAAGAGTTTCAGCTGGCCAAGAAGAATCAGGGCTACTTTTCCACCACGACTCTCTCCTGGCTCCGTGAACTTGCCCTCGCCCATTCGCGACAAGGAACTTCCTCTTCTGTCCAGCAGGGTAACGCTATTCTCCACGCATACTCCACCGATGTTTTGCATGCCGACGGTGACACTGACACAGTGGGTGACTGGGCCCGCCGGATCGCAAGTATCTACCTCGAGTGCGGATTCATTGAAGGCGGTAATAATCTCCTTGACGAACTCCGCCACCGCGTGGTGTACAGCTTGGAATCTTCTTCCGCGGTGGATTTGAGCGATCGTCGCGATGCCGTATTTGTTGCTGCCTTCGAGGAAGTCTTTGGCAGGCGTGCCAGCTACGACCAAATCATGTCTGAGATGGCTCGTGAGATGAAGACCTCTAGGGACTTCTCTAAGAGTCTGTCTGGTCACGATTTCATTCCCACTTTGATCATTGGCCACAAGCTCTACAGTCTCCAGGTTGGCCAGAAGCGAGTTCGCGCTGCCAACGACACCAAGGACAAGTTGTACGACTACTTCTGCTCCAACCTGTCTGCCACCAAGGTGGCCGACAAGGAGATCGTGCAGCAGTTCTATCAGATCTGCCTGCGTGAGGTCCACAGAGAAAACTATAGCATGAAAATACTCACAACGAGCACTAATCTCGTTCGTGACTTGTGCAACTCCTCCCGCTTCCAGGAAGCCACCATCTTGACAGGCGTTTTGCACTCCTTCCTGCATCTGACCGATGGTCTCAACAACCAAGAAAGTATCAACACCGCTATTCAGCTCTGCCTGTACCTGGGCGGCCACAAGGCAACCAAGTGTACCGACGAAAAGACCTACCAAGCCATGTCCATCAAGTCCAAGCTGCTGCTGCAAGAGATCATGGCATCCTCAAAATCCATGGGTATCGAGATGGTCGACCTACCCTTCAACCAACTCAACGACATTATCACCCTTCTAGGCCAGCACGAGATGTTCGATGAGCTGGAAGCCATTCTCACCCAACTCTGGACCTCACGAATCGTCCAGCGTACCTGGACACCGGATGTGGTCGTGTGGATCGGCCGACGTCTAGTCGAAACCCGCTTCTGCCGCGGCAACGTCGAGTCCGCCATCCAGTTGTGCCGCGACATCTGCTACAACCTGCGCCAGGTGTGGGGCAGCTGCGACCCGGTTACACTGAACATGACCAAGCTTCTTTCAGCCCTGTTCACAGCCTCAGAGAACCACCAGTCTGCAGCGACTCTACACGAAGGAATTCTGTACGATCTGCTCAGCGACTCCGAAGCAGAGGGCCATGCCAATGTTGCTGATACCGCATCGCAACACATGGAGCTACTGCGCCGTGCCCAGGCACGTCTGGGACCAGACTCAAAATCGAACCGGGCTTCGGCGCATGCGGAACTGTCCCAATCAGTTGCCGATCGCTTTGGTGTGCAGTCTGAGCAGATCAAGAATGTTGGCGATGCTAATGGCGGTGAGCAATTCGGTGTTTGGTCGAAGCCGAGACGGTTTAGTATCGATGTTGATGATATGGAGGAGGAGGGCCAGACGCATCACAATCATCTGCGTGAGTCCAGCGGTGTTGGGTTGAGTGGTAGTGGCACTCAGAGACGTATCTCGGTGCAGGCTCTCTAAGTACACTGGGGGATATTTTTTTTATATCAGATATTTGTATTTCAGTTCATGCTGGCGTTTTTGGATGTTTAACCTGTACCAAATTGTATACCTTTGTCCGTTTCAACATCACGATTTGGTAAATCACTTGTCTAACTAGTTATCGGCTTCAATAATCTGACTCTTTTAGCTTATCATATGTGATCATACAAAGGTTACACTACACTACAGATGTATAGTATTGGGATGGCTTAAATCGGGGCAATTTCTACGTAGAGTGGGCTGGCTACTTTATGAACTGGAGGAAAGATATTTCTAAGTCTAATACATCATCTGCACAAGGTACATACAATACCCAAGAGTAATAGGTAATTATGCTTCCACCACATCGGTGATTCGACACGCATAGCAGTTTGGTTGATAAGAAATATTGCCAAAATGTACACTGACCCTGCCGGTCTGTGTAGGACCACACCGTGATGATGTTGAATGAATGTAGTTTAAACCCGAAACCCAATATGTGTGTTCATGCACGCTAGCACAAGGATAACAAAGGATCATATGCCTAGTGTATGATGCAAATGATCACCAGAGCCGAAGCCTGGTCAAGCGGTCAATGCAAAGCTGAGGCCCATCAACCCCATGCCTCCCACAGCGAACCCGATACCCATTCCGCGGTGATGGGTGAGCCCAAGTCCCTCGCTGAAAAGTTGCAACGCAACCGAAGTCATGACTCCGGCGGTGACGGCAAACATACCTCCATATATACCCCACGAGGGACCAGTGGCATCGTCGCTACCGCGTTGCCCAGTGCTCCAGATCCAGAGCGCTGCGAGTCCAGCACCGGCTGGTTGACTGATACCTCCTAGGAGACTAGACCAGAACATTGCTCTCCAGCGGGAATTGAGGGCTAGATAGAGCGGAAGTGACATGGCGAAGCCCTCCACAATGTTGTGGATAACTAGAGCCAGAAATACTGTCATACCGAGGGTTGGGCTGGCGTGGTTTGTGGCGTAAGTAATGAACCCCTCTGGAAGCTTATGTAGAGCAATGGCGAGTGAGGTTTGAAGCCCAATGGAAAGGAATGCATTTTTAGGAACGTGATGGTGGTGGGGGTTGCCGCCGGCAGATTTGGGACGCCCAGAATCAATATCGTCCAGGTAGCTATGAGATTCGTCATGGTGATGATGCTCAGAATGCGGACGAGATCGATGACTTAAATGTGGGTCTAAAATGGGAGACGAAGTGGACGATCGGTGCATGTCATGCTGTACAGAGATGTTGTCAAAATCTCTCCCTTCCGGAGTGGGAGGCACATGTTCAATGTCGTCAATTCCTACGCGGGAAATTTCCGATTCCAGCGGCACGGATATACCTTCACAATGCAGCAAGTTTGGTCGCGCGCTCTCATCGCTGTTGGGTGGTGGAAGCACTTTGTTGCATTCGAGGCCACAGGTTTGAGAAACCCCGAAGCAAGGCCCGTCCTCGTCACAGGCGGATTTTACGCCACCCATGAACGACGTAATGCGGCGCGCTAGCATTGCCCGCATCGTGTCGCGGCGTCTGGGTGCCGGCTCGATGTGTTGGCTCGCTTGTACTACCGCTGGCGTTGACTTGAATGAAGATGGCTTATTATGTTGCAACAGCGGTGTTCGTTCGGTATGTCCATTTGTATCGTTGTGGACATGGTCCTCGTGTGCGGCCTCGCCGCGCTCGGCATCATTTTCTGACTCGTCATGGGTATGGGCACAGTCGACAACATGAGATGGGATGTAACGATGTGCGAACGCGGATAGTATTTGAATGCCGGCCACTCCAGCAATGAAAAGACCGATCAACATATATGCAGATACAGCGGGAGAGAAGCCGGCGCGGGTAAGGTACTGCTTGGATGTGGGAAGCATGCTGTAGAGGGAGGTAAAGAGCTGCCTAGGATTAACATAGTTCACTATTCCTCCAGAATAATGCCTACCATGACTCCAGCACTGAGACATAATGATGCCGACAGGAAATGACTACTGTTGGCGATCTGGAAGCTCTTGCGGCGGGAGACCACTTGAACCAGCACATCGACGCAGATGATAGAGGAACCAAGGACGCATGCTGAAGATAGTTAGTGGCTAATATTTCAAAGACTCCAGGCGACGCTCACCGACGCCTGAGACGGTGCTCATCACCCATCCCCGAAGGTCGTTGGCAGACATGGCGTGGGGAGTTGAAGAAAACGGAAATGGTGATGTAATTAGCAATCAGCGTGGTTGGCGGTCAAGACTTTGCCTCTCTTCCTCACTCTAGAGGAATGAAAATATGACGATATTCATGATGGGCATTTATGTTAATCACTTGCGTTGTCTGAGGACAGTGCATTCCGTCCCCAAGGTTCTCACTGCACCTCTGCAAGCCCCCCTCATGGCTGGGATCTGCGATATTGAACAAACGATCTGGCATCGTGAACGTCCAGTTTGAGAGTCCCTAGGACTATGGGATATGGAGGAATATTTCCTATCTGAGGGTCATAGATACTGCCTTTCATTGCAATCTGTTCTGTGATACTTGACACTTTCTCATATGAAGGTGCACACCTGGACATATGCAGGGGATTATGCAACTGACAGTATCTGGTGATTTGAAATAACTTTAGACTCACCGGACTCAAGAGAATGAGAAGTATCACGAGAGGCAAGAGAACCCAGAGAACCCAGGAAATCCTGAGAATATATATACGACATCTCCCATGCCTTGGAAATGACAATAGTTCCGGGCCCCATGTGATGTGATTGGCCCGTGACTCCCCATCTTTTTTGCTGTCTTCGTGTTTCGGCTCTCTCGACGCTCTAGCCTCTCAGCTCTACCTAGGTAAATCCAAGGGACACTCAGCCATGTCCAAAGCAACCCTGGCCGTCATCGCTGCCGCCAGCGCAGCTACCGGAGCTGGTGTCACCGCGCTGCTCTTCTCCGGCAAATCCTCGAAGCCCCAACAACAAGAGACCCTCTCTCCGACACCGACAAGCCCGGGCCTCAAGGTACCCTCAACCATCCCGGCCCCAGCCCTGGCATCCAAGCGAGCCATCGGCCCCGTCGACCCAGCAGGAATCCTCCAGTATGGTTTCCCGGGCCCAATCGCCGACGAGCTCTCTTCCCTCCCATTGCACGGCGCCTACGACCGACGCACACGCAACCCATCTTGGGTCGCGGAACACATCACGCCAGAATCCCTAGGGATTAACAACGCCGACAGAAAGAAGAGTACCTTCTTCGAGGACACGACCATCCCGGGGATGTTCCGCGCTAAGCTGTCCGACTATTTCCGCTCGGGCTATGACCGTGGACACCAGGTGCCGGCCGCAGACGCGAAGTGGTCACAGGAGGCAATGGACGGCACGTTCGCACTGAGCAATATGTGTCCGCAGGTCGGCGAGGGCTTCAACCGCGACTACTGGGCGCATTTTGAGACTTTCTGCCGTGATCTCGCCAAGCGTTATCCCTCTGTTCGCATCGTTACTGGCCCCCTGTACCTGCCTCACCGCGACCCGGATGGAAAGTGGCGCGTTAACTACGAGGTTATCGGCAACCCGCCTAACGTCGCTGTGCCCACACACTTCTATAAGGTTATCTATGCCGAGGATGGCACCAACTCGCCCACGAGCAAGGTTGCACTCGGTGCTTTTGTCCTGCCTAATGCTCGCATTGCAAATGATAAGCGTCTGACTGACTTTGAGGTTCCTCTCGAGGCTGTTGAGCGTGCTTCCGGTTTGGAGTTCGGCTCTAAGTTGGACCTCAGTCGTCGTCGCCGCTTGTGTCAAGAGGTGGCTTGCTCGATCACTGTGCGCGAGTTCAACAATGCTAAGAAGCGTTCTTGAGCTTGATGTCACAGAAATGTGAGGAGAGAGACCAGGCTTGCCTTTTGACTTCTCGTATGGCTTCACTGTATTCTAGAAACATTGTATTTGCATAATTCGGGCGTTAATAACCGCTCCGGGCGGCAATATAAGGATCTTTCTTTATCGTACACATAATGGAAACCTGTGATGTTTCATGTTTCTTTCTCGCTTCCTTTTATTACGAAGTTGTTCAGCACTGGAACGCAACCCCGGTCTTCTTCCCCATGCTCCCACCTTTGCTAGCAAACCCAGTCCCCTCGGAGGAGATCTCCACCAGACCAGGCTGAATAGCATCCCTATCCTTTTTCTTAGACTTCTTGTTATTCCCATTCCCGTGATCTGGTTGTGACTTCGCCGTAAGATCTGTCTCACAGACGAAACATAAAACCTGACCATGGAGAGCTGCAGTCTTCTCCTGCTCCTCTTTCGAGGCATGTGGATCAGGGATGTGGTGTTCGTGGGGGGTCATGAATTTCGTTACACACGGAGAGCAAATGACATGCCCGCAGGGCTTTGTGACTGTCATGAGACATAATTAGCAAAACCCAATGGCTGTACCAACTTCTACTCCACATACGCATCGCTTTGAGCCCATTGCTTAAATTTTTCGTGCAACTCGGACACACCCTAGACACAGTCCCATCGGAAGCCTTCTCCTCCGTGAAATTAACCTCAACAAGCGACTTGAGCGAGTAGCTATGTCGGCTCTCATCCGTCGAGCCAGGACAGACAGGCGTCAACTTGACGGTCTTGTTGGCGGCGATTTCATTCGCATCAGTGTTGGGTGTTAAAGATGGAACCCAGAAAGACGGGAGAGCAGATTTGCTAGCCGACTAGAGCAAATTTGTTAGTTCAAAACAAATCTCCAATCGAAGACCGAGGCTTCAAGCTTCAAGCTCCAGCCCAAAGAATGACCACAAACCTTCTCCATCTTCAACTCCATCCTCAACCTCTCCTTCTCCTCCCCAGCAAGACGAGCCATCTCCTCCTCCCCGAGCTCAAAAACCCTCTTCCTCTTCCCATCAACCTCAACCTCCCTAGCCTTGAACTTCTCCAAAGCCTCAGACTCCTCCGCCTTGCGCTTCTTCCCACCTTTATTCTCTAAACCCATGGAAACAAGCTCGAAATCCCTGAGATCTCTCTCCTTCATCTCCGCCAGCGAGCGCTCCTCATCCTCTGCGATGCGTTTTCTCGCCTCGTCGCGCTCTTTTTCAAGCCGCTTGATCTCCTGCCGTTGAGAGAGGAGGTCGTTGATCGCACATTCGCGGCAGAAGAGGTCGCCGTTACTGGCGCATGCGACTACAGGCGCCCGCGCGGGTTGCAGACATAGACGGCAGGAGCCAAAGCTTAGGAAGCTGTCGCGGCCGATTGCGCTGCGTTTTGTGCCCCAGGTTGAGCGTAGAAGACCGCGTTCGTAGGAGGTAAAGTGTGGGAGGGAGGTATTTCGCTTTGAATGCGCCATTTTGAGTGTGGATGGCGTGGACGTTGATCGGGGGTGAGGGTGGCTTTTTGTAGCTTCTTGGATGGCGTAATACGCTTTTACTCGGGGTTCGGCGGCGGTGGGGCTTGGGATTGGTGTGTTGGTTCACCGCTCAGCTTACCGCTCTCATCAGCCCTATGCAACATCGTCGGACTCCACTACATTGTGTATCTAAGCTTGCACAGACACTGTTGAAAGCAAAATATCAAATAATCATTGTCAATCGTAATTCGCTTTTGTCTATCGGTGATTCCACAGCCTCACTCGAAAGAAGCATGATTGAAATGAAATAGCCAAGCCATGAGATATCAAAGCACGCCCATGAATGCAGCCTGCCATACAGATCTGATTCAACGATCTGACAGTAAATGAAAAATTCCCAGAAGCCTAAACGTAGACGCGGACGCAGAAATATGCTCAAAAACCAGACCGAACCGAAAGCCTGCCACGAAACCGAGATTCACCATATGTTAATGCAAGGACAGTAAGGAAAGTCAATTAGGAAAAGGCAAAGTGAGATGCATGAGTTTGAAAAGGGGTATAATAATCGTCAAGCAGAAGATCAAGATGAGAATGGTCAGGATATACAGAAGAAAGGAGAAAAAGATAGGAGGCGTAGAGTCAGGCGCCTACGGCCTGCTCGCGTATGTTTTCGCTGGACGGGCTATCAACGATTCGCTCATTGATAGATGTAGAGGAGGGGGAGGGGGAGGGGGAGCCGTCATGTCTTGGTGCGGAAAGATGGCCGTATATTGTGGATGAAGGAGAGCAATGAGTATGTTCGGTGTCTAGGGGATCTGGGGTCGGGAACGAGGTGATCACCGGGGAAGCCGGGCTCCCAAAGTCCTCTTCCGGTTGCTCTTCCGGTTGCTCTTCATGCGCATCCTTGAACTCCGCCAGATCGTCGCTAGTACGCCCACTTAGGCCAGTGGCGTTGCTCGTCCTGCGCGCCGAATGACGTTCGGGGCTGCGGTCGGTCATAATCGACTCGCCGTCCAATATAGCAGGATCCGACGCCCGTGGCTCTTCATGAGGGGTGGGCTTGCGGAGCTTGAGGCGCTCCTCCGGGGGCATGTTTTGCCATTCAGACCCGAATGTGACGACGGATGCTTTCTTGCCATGCACAGTGAAACTAGGGGCTTTGCGAGGAAGGACTTCTCCATCGCCGGACAATTGATCGTCCTCCTCCTGTCCAATGCTAGACACTGAACCCCGTTTCTTCTTCGAATGAGAATGGTTCCTATGAGCATGCGAATCACGGAGGGTGCGATGAAGGCTGCGACGGACACGACTCGGTCGATCGCTCTTGTCGTGTGGATGTGTCTCGCCCTCGGTGTCTTTACCGGGAAGTGCGTCAGGGGCGATCTCTTCATTCTTATGTGCCGACGGGGACGCCGGCAGCTCCAGAAGACCAGCTTCTCTTAGAACACGCTCCTCGCCGTCATCAAAGCCCACAGGGGATGTCAGTTTCGATGTACGAGAAGCCAGACTAGCTCCATCCCACCGGCTGGCACGGCTGAGGAGCGAGGCTTCACGCTCGAGTTTAATGGTCGATGGATCGGGGGAGTATGACTTGGCACGTTCGGGTACAGCCACAGCAGAGCGCCGACGCCCGACACGGGCAATGTCAGCTGAAGTGGCAGATCCTGGGATACTGGGACGACGCAGTTCGTCATTCGAAGGTTTAGCCAGCAGTCCAGCCTCCGAGGGCTGCTCGGTTTGTGCCACATGAGGCTCGGGGACATCGGCGCTAGAGACGTTTTGCACAATACTACCGGCTCTTTCCACGCTAGGCTCAGATGTCACGGACGGCCCGGAAGGAGAGGCCAGGCGTGCTCCGTCC